ATGGACTTTCTTGCTCTAATTACTTTTTTTTGTAGGTTTTCTTCACTAAGCTTTGCTCATACTATAATGAGATTTTCTCCGATTGTATGTTAGGATTGGTATTCATGTAAGAATGGTATATGAAGTTTATGAAGCTTAAAAGCAGTCAGTGTACAGTGAGATCACGTCTTAAGGCATGGTAACAGTTGCTTTGGGTCACAACCAAAAGTAGGCAAATTAGGAATTCAGAAGAGAATAAAAAATGGAAGCAATTTTTTTTTAGTGGTATATACTTAGGGATACAGAATTAGGGCAAAAAAAATAAGATGATTCTCACTGAGTACTATTTAGATGCCCCAGGTTTTCAAAACCAGCCCTCAGGTATGGCTTTGAAACTTTCAGAAGACAAACCAGTACTAGCTGCAGTTCTTCAGCATGCCCAGGAACTGAGCATAAGAGACCAAAGGAAGCGAGATTAATGTTCTGCTTTCATTCAGGTTGGAGAAAAGGAGCCAGAGATTTTGTGTAAAGTTCCCCTTGGACTTTATTTCTGGGATGCTGTGAAAATTGTTTTACTTATGTAAAAGCATATAGTAAGTACTTAACAAATAAATTTGCTTAAACCTCTAAGTAATCCCCTCTCTCTCATAAATTTCCTTTACACTTTATCTTTCTCTTATGGTACCTGGCACCTTCTAATTTGAATTTTACTTGGGCTCACTTCTCTGATTCTCATTAACAGACTGATGTGTCTTTTAGGCAGGAACTGCCTGTTAACCTTTTAAAAAATTCTCTGCAGTACCCGCTGAGGGCCTTATACTTAGTTTGTTCTCAGTAAACACTGAATAGATAGAAGATCAGAAGACATTTTGTTTTTAAAATTTATTTATAGATTAACGTTAGAAAAAGATTTGAGGTGGTGTTGCCATCTGTATTTCATGCAGTAGAGAAGCATCGCTAAGTGCAAAAAATGTAATTTGTGAAGAATTTTCACTAACATGTTTCTAAAATAAGATTTTTGCCATGTTAGTGTGTTATGGTTGTTTCTTGATGTTATTTATAAGAATGTTTAGTGCCTGGACTTAATCCTCTAAAATAACAGTATAATTTTAACTTCACAGGCATACTAAACCTGTTCATTATGTGGCTTGGAGAAACCAAGGAAAGACAGATGATGCAGGAAGTAGTAGTGGTAGTTCTATGTACTCTTGTTCATTTGTCCTTTTACTGAACTGGCGATGAAAGAATTCTCTAATATAAGTTGAAAATATTTTATTAGATAATGGCTATGGTCATTGATGGAGCTAATCTTGCTATCTAGAGAAAAGCTATTCCTACAAAGCACATAGAATCAAAAAGACATGCTTTTGATTGAAAAGGGGTTAGAAAAGTTAGGTGAGTAAAAACTAATAAAGGATGGTTGAGCAACTCAGTGATGATACTAACTTACTGATCTAGAGAACGCTAGAGGAGAGTTGTTTGGAAAAGAGGCCTGGAGTGAAATTTGGTTATCCAGACGATAGATGACGGCGAAGGCAGTGGATGAACTAGGAGGAGAGGACATTGAAAAAGGAATTAATTATTGAGACAGAGGCTCATTCTGTTAGCCAGGCTAGAGTGCTGTGACACAAACACAGCTCACTGCAGCCTTGACCTTGGGCATAAGCAATCCTCACACCTCAGCCTCCCAAGTAACTGGGACTACAGGCATACACCATCATGGCTGGCTTTTTTTTTTTTTTTTAATTTTCTATAGTGATAGGGTCTCCCTATGTTTCCCAGGCCAGTCTTGAACTCCTAGCTCAAGTAATCCTCCCACCTTGGCCCCCCAAAGTTCTACAGTGTGAGTCACTGTGCCCTGCCATGATTCTTATTTTTTAAAGATGGGAGCATCTTGAAATGCTGATGGAAATAGCTATTAAAGGATGAGTTTCAAAATACAGAAGTCAAAATATAAGAGGTTCCTGGGTGAATGAGTGGGAGTGGGATACAGAGCAAAGGTAATTTGAACTCAGAGAGAAAAAGGAATATGTCTGTTTTAATAGGAGGACAGGGTGTGTGCTAATGGGCTTAGGTCTGTAGGTCTGTTGGTGGGTAGCTGATGGAGTTCTTTCTGATAATTTTTATGGCATATATTTTTCTCTGTGTTATGGAAGCCAAAAACATGGTTTGAGAGTGATGCAAAGAAATGTGAGGTCAGAGAATGTTTACAGGGAACCGACTAAAAAAGCAATAGATTGCTAAGTAGTGAAAAGGGTCAGTTGAAATTTGCAAGCCTAGATTTCAGACTTATTTGGAATATCACTAACTAATATGACTTTCTTTAGCAGTGCTCAGCAGCCTTGGTATGGTTGGAATCAGCTTTGTATTTTATATGGAATCAGAGAAAAAAGGGGCAAGGGAGTTTGGGAGTTTGGTGGGAGAGTGATTGAAATTATAGATCATTTTCTTGGGGGAAAATTAGTAAATACAAAATAATATTTAAAAAAATGAAATTATGAATTTTATGCATGTTTTCTTGTGCTTTTTTTTTTTTTTTTTGAGACGGAGTTTCGCTCTCCTTACCCAGGCTGGAGTGCAATGGCGCGATCCTGGCTCACCGCAACCTCCGCCTCCTGGGTTCAGGCAATTCTCCTGCCTCAGCCTCCTGAGTAACTGGGATTACAGGCACGTGCCACCATGCCCAGCTAATTTTTTGTATTTTTAGTAGAGACAGGGTTTCACCATGTTGACGAGGTTGGTCTCCATCTCTTGACCTCGTGGTCCACCCGCCTTGGCCTCCCAAAGTGCTGGGATTACAGGCTTGAGCCACTGCGCCTGGCCTCTTGTGCTTTTGCATGCCAAGTTTGATCATCTGTGTGTGTGGGTTCTGTGTCTGCCAGCCTTGGATCAAAAACATTGAAAATAAGTAGATAAATAATACAAATAAATATAGTAAAGTATTTACAGAGCATATACATTGTATTTGGGGTTATAAGAATCTAGAGAAAAAACAAGGAAATAATGAATCAAGGATTCCAGTTTAGAGAGAGAGGGAATTAAAGACTAGAGGAGACTGATATTTAGGACCCTGAAACCTTCACTTTCATCACATTTATTGAAACCACTTCTTAATATCTGGGTGGATGGGAGTTTTACACGTTTTTTGTGCTGTTCCATGCCAGGTTTGACCCTCTGCGTGTGTGGTTCTGTGTCTGCCAGTCATGGATCAGAAGTATTAAAAATAAGTAGATAAATAATACAAATAAATATAGATAAGTATTTACATAGCATTTACATTATATTAGGTGTTATAAGAATCTAGAGATGATTTCAAGTATACAGGAAGATGAACATAGGTTATATGCAAATACTATATCATTTTATATAATGGACTTAAACATCTGCAGATTTTGGTATCCATAGGGTGGGTGCATGGAGCAGGTGTGGGAGTGCCTTAAAATTGAATCCCCAGCAAATACTGAGGGATGACTGTATGTGATAATCTTTCTCTCTAGTGATCTAACTAGAGAAACCTGTAGGGTTGCATAGTCAAGATTGAGTATAAGATTTATGTTTCTGTATCCCTTGCATAGCCATGGCCCATCCCAGTGTAATAGTTCTTATGTGATATGTTGTGAGATTCTGCTGTCCTATGAACTCTTTAGATATTGTATAAATTTTTGATCAATGTATAAAGTGTATTTTTGTCATAATGAGTATACTATTAGTCCAGTATTTTCCATTTCACTGATTTGTTAAGTGATGTGAGATAACTTACTGTAAGAAAAAGTGTAGTCATTTTAGTGCCAAATTAAAGAATCAGATGTTTTTACTGAGAACTGAGAACTTTGCTCTTAGATATAGAAAGATACATATAGTACAGTAAATGATTCTTAAGTAGCAACACAGCATTTGGACCACAATATTAATAGTGTGACAACTCTTCATGCTTTTATAGACACTTGAGACATTTGTTATATGGCTCTATAACATATAACATGTAACGATGTTATACATGTTGGCTACTATTACAGTTTGCTTCCTATTGCTGCTGTAACAAATTTCCACAAATTTAGTGGCTTAAAACAAAAAAAATGTATTATTTTTATGCTTCCTATAGTTCTGGAAGTCAGAAGATTGAAATGGGTTTCTTATAGGGTGAAAACCAGTGTTTTAGCATACCTCTGTTCCTTCTTGGAGAGAATCTGTTCTTTACCTTTTCCAGCTTCTGGAGGCCATCTGCATTCTTTGGCTTGTGGCCACATCGCTCTGACGTCTACTTGGGTTATCACATCTCCTCTTCTGATGTTTCTACTGTCCTTTGAATTTTTTAGTGATATTTCTGATTACATTGGGTCTAGCTGGATAAAATTCAGGAAAATCTCCCTATTATAAGGTCCTCAACTTAATCACATTTTCAGAGTCTTTTTGCCATGTAAGCTAACATTCACAAATTCCAGAAATTAAGATGTGGTCACCTTTGGAGAACCTCTGTCAACTTTGATTTTGTTCTTGCTTTTTAAGTTTTGGCTATTCTGGGTTCCTTGCATTTCATATTAGTTTTAAGATCAGTTTCTCAATTTCTGAAAAGAAAACGGCTGGGAGTTTGTTAAGTTTTTTGTGAATCTGTAGATCAATTTGGAGAATATTGCCATCTTTTTATTTTTATTTTTTATTTATTTTATTTTTTTAATTGCATATTAGGTTTTGGGGTACATGTGTAGAACATGAAAGATAGTTGCATAGGTACACACGTGGCAGTGTGATTTGCTGCCTTCCTCCCCTTCACCTATATCTGGCTTTTCTCCCCATGCTATCTCTCCCCAACTCCCCATGCCCCACTGTCCCTCCCCTATTCCCCTGAACAGACCCCAGTGTGTAGTGCTCCCCTCCCTGTGTCCATGTGTTCTCATTGTTCAACACCCACCTTCATTTTCTGTTCTTGTGTCAGTTTGCTGAGAATGATGTTCTCCAGGTTCATCCATGTCCCTACAAAGGATATGAACTCATCGTTTTTTTTTTGTGTGTGTGTGTGTGTGTGTGTACACATTTAGTTTTATTGTAACAAAGCAACTTGTACACTTTTAACGTTTAAAACTGAGCATCATCTTTCCTTTCCAGTGAAACAAAAAGAAAATTTAAAAATAAACAGGAACAAAATCACAATAGAGAATGTCAATTCCAAATAAGATCCTACAGGTTCTGCTGATTCTCCCATTGAGTGGCAGGGCTCAAGTCATCATTAGGAGAGAATTTATTTTAAAAGTGTCATCTTAAACTGCAAGGATATCTGTCAAATGTCACAATTAAACATGCCAAAGGAGAAGCCATGTTGTCAAAATGCCCACTTACCCCACCCAGACATCTCAAACCCACCCTTTGCTGACCTTCTATAACCCCATTTTTTAAAGTTTTTTTTTCTTTTTTTTAAACAAGAGAAAGTAGACAAATACATGTTGGTAAATGCTAACTGTCCATATTCACATAGAGACACAGTGTACTCTCTGAGCCCAATATACAGAGAAAGGAGGAAAAAAGCTAGAATTCTATGCACTACTACACAGGGGCCTAGCACCCTCCAGCTTCCAGCAGAGCGAAGGGAACAGGTTTTTCTTTTTTCCTACAGAGCTCAGTGGTATTGATTCCATACAGTTTTTGTTAAGACAGGAAGGGATAAAAATGAATTTCAAACAGAAAGGGGTAGAGACTCTTTTCCCATTGTATCCTGCTCAAGATATTTCCCCCCCAAATAAGTTGAGAACCATGGTGTAGAGAAAAGAGACCTCAAAAACAGGGTGACTGAGCACAAGAGGGAAGGAAAAAAAAAAAAAGACTGCAACTTGCTCCCAGGGACTGGAGAAAATTTGAAAAAAGGAAGGTTGGAATCCATCAGTGTTCTATTAGTCATCTTCTCCTTCATCCTCCTCTCCTTCCTCCCCTTCATCATCATCTTCATCTTCTTCACCTTCATCCTCATCCCCTTCTTCATCAATGTCTTCTAATCCTTCCTCCTCTTCATCATTAACATCATCTTCTCCTTCTCCTTCTTCATCATCCATATCAGGAACCAAGTAGTATTGTAATGGGTTTGGCCAAATATCATCTTTGATGACCTCTCCTAATTCATCAGCACCTGCATCAGAATGATCAGTAAACCAGGTAAAGAAGCTCTCTGGTTCCTCATGCTGCCTCTTCCTGCTGGCTTTATTCTGCGTTTGACTTGAACGTTTTGTCAAATCCTTTCCAGATTTCCATTTGATTTCAGTGGACTTTGAAGATGGATCACCACTCTCATTCAGATGAAATTCTTTGGAGAGAACTTTATTTTCAAAGTAAGGATTTTCATCAAAATAAAAATCTATTCTGTAACCTGATTTAATATCTTCAAATTCTGTCACTTCAACTCTGGTCAAATAATGCAGTGCCTCTTCATCCTCCTCCCCAAGCAGTGCAGACACTTGTGGATGGTTGACAAATGTTGTTACCCAAAAATTTGGGATTTTGGCGATCAATTCTGACCTCTTCTGAAAAAATGGTTGGCGGAGTTTGTTATATTTCTGTTCTACTTTCAAAATCTCCTCACTGGCTTGTTCATTAAGTCTGTCTATTTCATTTTGTACTTCATCAATGTGTTCAATTGCTTCTTGCTGTTCTTTTTCTCCCTTCTTCAGCAAGCCTGCAGAGGCCGATGTCTCATCCAGTCCCTGAGCAGGAGGTGGTCTTGGTTTCTTCTTTTGAGGCGGGAGTGGAGACTGGCGTTTGGGGGCCATGCTGCTGGGGAAGTCCGAGAACCGGAGCATAAGTCTTCTTGCTTATCCGGAAGCAGGCAGAACACTGCGAACTCATCGTTTTTGATTGCTGCATAATATTCCATGGTGTATAGGTGCCACATTTTCCCAGTCCAGTCTATCATCGATGGGCATTTGGGTTGGTTCCAGGTCTTCGCTATTGTAAACAGTGCTGCAATGAACATTCATGTGCGTGTGTCCTTATAGTAGAACGATTTATAGTCCTTTGGATATATACCCAGTAATGGGATTGCTGGGTCAAATGGAATTTCTATTTCTAGGTCCTTGAGGAATCGCCACACTGTCTTCCACAATGGTTGAACTAATTTACACTCCCACCAGCAGTGTAAAAGTGTTCCTATTTCTCCACATCCTCGCCAGCATCTGTTATCTCCAGATTTTTTTAATGATCGCCATTCTAACTGGCGTGAGATGGTATCTCAATGTGGTTTTGATTTGCATCTCTCTAATGACCAGTGATGATGCATTTTTTTCATATGTTTGTTGGCCTCATATATGTCTTCTTTTGTAAAGTGTCTGTTCATATCCTTTGCCCACTTATGGGCTTGTTTGTTTTTTTCTTGTAAATCTGTTTTAGTTCTTTGTAAATTCTGGATATCAGCCCTTTGTCAGATGGGTAAACTGCAAAATTTTTTCCCATTCTGTTGGTTGCCAGTTCACTCAGATGTCTGTTTCTTTTGCCATGCAGAAGCTATGGAGTTTGATTAGGTCCCATTTGTCTGTTTTGGCTTTTGTTGCCAATGCTTTTGGTGTTTTGGTCATGAAGTCCTTGCCTACTCCTATGTCCTGAATGGTTTGGCCTAGATTTTCTTCTAGGGATTTTATGGTGTTAGGTCTTATGTTTAAGCCTTTAATCCATGCGGAGTTAATTTTAGTGTAAGGTGTCAGGAAGGGGTCCAGTTTCTGCTTTCTGCACATAGCTAGCCAGTTTTCCCAACACCATTTATTAAACAGGGAATCCTTTCCTCATTGCTTGTTTTTGTCAGGTTTATCAAAGATTGTATGGTTGTAGATATGCTGTGTTGCCTCCGATGCCTCTGTTCTGTTCCATTGGTCTATATCTCTGTTTTGATACCAGTACCATGCTGTTTTGATTACTGTAGCCTTGTAGTATAGTTTGAAATCCAGTAGTGTGATGCCCCCCGCTGTGTTCTTTTTGCTTAGAATTGACTTGGCTATGTAGGCTCTCTTTGGGTTCCATATGAAGTTTAAGGTGGTTTTTTCCAGTTCTGTGAAGAAGGTCATTGGTAGCTTGATGGGGATAGTGTTGAATCTGTAAATTACTTTGGGCAGTATGGCCATTTTCATGATACTGATTCTTCCTAACCATGAACATGTTTCTCCATCTGTTTGTGTCCTCTCTTATTTGTTGAGCAGTGGTTTGTAGTTCTCCTTGAAGAGGTCCTTTATGTTCCTTGTTAGTTGTATTCCTAGGTATTTTATTCTCTTTGTAGCAATTGTGAATGGCAGTTCGTTCTTGATTTGGCTCTCTTTAAGTCTGTTATTGGTGTATATGAATGCTTGTGATTTTTGCACATTGATCTTGTATCCTGAGACTTTGCTGAAGTTGCTTATCAGTTTCAGGAGATTTGGGGCTGAGACGATGGGGTCTTCTAGATATACTATCATGTCATCTGCAAATAGAGACAATTTGGCTTCCTCCTTTCCTATTTGAATACCCTTTATTTCTTTTTCTTGACTGGCTGCTCTGGCTAGAAATTCCAGTACTATATTGAATGGGAGTGGTGAGAGAGGGCATCCTTGTCTAGTGCCAGATTTCAAAGGGTATACTTCTAGTTTTTGCCCATTCAGTATGATATTGGCTGTTGGTTTGTCATAAATAGCTTTTATGATTCTGAGATACGTTCTGTCAATACTGAGTTTATTGAGGGTTTTTAGCATAAAGGGCTGTTGAATTTTGTCAAAGGCCTTCTCTGCATCAATTGAGATAATCATGTGGTTTTTGTGTTTGGTACTGTTTTTGTGGTGAATTACGTTTATGGACTTGCGTATGTTGAACCAGCCTTGCATCCCCGGGATGAATCCTACTTGATCATGGTGGTTAAGCTTTTTGATGTGCTGTTGCAATTGGCTTGTCAGTATTTTATGGAAGATTTTCGCATCTATGTTTATCATGGATATTGGCCTGAAGTTTTCTTTTCTTGTTGAGTCTCTGCCGGGTTTTGGTATCAGGATGATGTTGGTCTCATAAAATGATTTGGGAAGGATTCTCTCTTTTTGGATTATTTGGAATAGTTTCAGAAGGAATGGTACCAGTTCCTCTTTGTGTGTCTGGTAGAATTCGGCTGTGAGCCCATCTGGACCTGGGCTTATTTTGTGTGGTAGGCTCTTAATTGCTGCCTCAACTTCAGATCTTGTTACTGGTCTATTCATGGTTTTGACTTCTTCCTGATTTAGGCTTGGGAGGATGCAACTGTCCAGGAATTTATCCATTTCTTCCAGGTTTACTAGTTTATGTGCAAAGAGCTGTTTGTAATGTTCTCTGATGATGGTTTGAATTTCTGCAGGATCTGTGGTGATTTCCTCTTTATCGTTTTTTTATTGCATCTATTTGTTTATTCTCTCTTCTTTTTTATCAGTCTGGCTAGTGGTCTATTTGTTGATCTTTTCGAAAAACCAGCTCCTGGATTTATTGATTTTCTGAAGGGTTTTTCATGTCTCTATCTCCTTCAGTTCTGCTCTGATCTCAGTTATTTCTTGTCTTCTGCTAGGTTTTGAGTTTTTTTGATCTTGCTTCTCTAGCTCTTTCAATTTTGACGATAGGGTGTCAATTTTGGATCTCTCCACTCTTCTCATGTGGGCACTTATTGCTATATATTTTCCTCTAGAGACTGCTTTAAATGTGTCCCAGAGATTCTGGTATGTTGTGTCTTCATTCTTGTTGGTTTCAAAGAACTTCTTTATTTCTGCCTTCATTTCGTTGTTTATCCAGTGAACATTCAAGAGCCAGTTGTTCCGTTTCCATGAAGCTGTGTGGTTCCGAGTTGGTTTCTGAATTCTCATTTCTAACTTGATTGCACTGTGGTCTGAGAGACTCTTTGTTATGATTTCAATTCTTTTGTATCTGCTGAGGAGTGATTTACTTCCAATTATGTGGTCAGTTTTAGAGTTGGTGTGATGTGGAGCTGAGAAGAATGTATATTCTGTGGATTTCGGTGGAGAGTTCTGTAAATGTCTATCAGGTTTGCTTATTCCAGGTCTGAATTCAAGTTCTGGATATCCTTGTTAATTTTCTGTCTGGTTGATCTGTCTAATATTGATAGTGGAGTGTTAAAGTCCCCCACTATTATTGTGTGGGAGTGTAAGTCACTTTGTAAGTCATTAAGAACTTGCCTTATGTATCTGGGTGCTCCTGTATTGGTTCCGTATATATTCAGGATCGTTAGCTCTTCTTGTATTGATCTTTTTACCATTATGTAATGTCCTTCTTTGTCTCTTTTGATCTTTGTTGCTTTAAAGTCTATTTTATCAGAGACAAAAATTGCAACTCCTGCCTTTTTTTTTTCTCTCCATTTGCTTGGTAAATCTTCCTCCATCCCTTTATTTTGAGGCTTTGTGTATACTTACATGTGAGATGGGTTTCCTGGATACAGCACAGTGATGGGTTTTGGCTTTTTATCCAATTTGCCAGTTTGTGTCTTTTGATCGGTGCATTTAGCCCATTTATATTTAGGGTTAATATTTTTATTTGTGAATTTGATCCTGCCATTTTGATGCTAGCTGGCTGTTTTGCCCATTAGTTGATGCAGATTCTTCATTTTGTTGATGCTCTTCACCATTTGGTATGTTTTCGGAGTGGCTGGTACTGGTTCTTCCTTTCTGTGTGTAGTACCTGTTTCAGGAGCTCTTGTAAAGCAGGCCTGGTGGTGAGAAAATTTCTGAGTACTTGCTTGTTTGCAAAGGATTTTGTTTTTCCTTCACTTATGAAGCTCAGTTTGGCTGGATATGAAATTCTGGGTTGAAAGTTCTTTTCGTTAAGGATGTTGAATATTGGCCCCCACTCTCTTCTGGCTTGTAGTGTTTCTGCCGAGAGATGTGCTGTGAGTCTGATGGGCTTCCCTTTGTGGGCAACCCGACCTTTCTCTCTGGCTGCCCTTAGCATTTTCTCCTACATTTCAACCCTGGTGAATCTGACGATTATATGCCTTGGGGTTGCTCTTCTTGAGGAATATCTTTGTGATGTTCTTTGTATTTCCTGGACTTGAATATGGGCCTGCCTTGCTAGGTTGGGGAAATTTTCCTGGATAATATCCTGAAGAGTATTTTTCAGCTTGGATTCATTCTGTCTGTCACATTCAGGTACACCTTTCAAACGTAGATTAGGTCTCTTCACATAGTCCCACATTTCTTGGAGACTTTGTTCATTTCTTTTTGCACTTATTTCTCTAATCTTGGCTTCTCATTTTATTTCATTGAGTTGATCTTCGACCTCTGATATCCTTTCTTCTGCTTGGTCAATTCGGCTGTTGAGAATTGTGCATGCTTTACGAAGTTCTCGTGTTGTGTTTTTCAGCTCCATCAATTCACTCATATTCTCTCTAAGTTGTCCATTCTTGTTATCATCTCGTCAAATCTTTTTCAGGGTTCTTAGTTTCTTTGCGTTGAGTTAGAACATGTTCTTTTAGCTCACAGAAGTTTCTCGTTACCCACCTTCTGAAGTCTGATTCTGTCATTTTATCACACTCATTCTCCATCCAGCTTTGTTCCCTTGCTGGTGAGGAGTTGTGATCCCTTGTAGGAGGAGAGGTGTTCTGGTTTTGGGTGTTCTCCTCCTTTTTGCACTGGTTTCGTCCCATCTTTGTGGATTTATCCTCCTTTTGTCTGTGTAGTTGCTGTTTTCAGGTTGGGTCTCTGAGTGGATGTCCAGAGTGTTGATGAAGAAGTTATTTCTGTTTCTTAGTTTTTCTTCTAACAGTCTGGCCCCTCTGCTGTAGGACTGCTGAGGTCTACTCCAGGCCCTGCTTGCCTGGGGATCATCTGCAGC